AGGGAAAGACTCACTTAAGTTTGTGTGGCATAAAGTTCATGAGAAAGGAGATGCTGTCAGTAGACCAAAGACAATATATAGAAATAGTTACTGAACTCCAGGACACACAAGCAATTTGTTCAGAGCCACTGTGGGCCTCCAAGAGAACGTTTTTGCTCACTGTGCATGCTTAATGTCATGCCTTAGTCCCTCATTCCCTTAGAGGAGGAAGGGATAAAGGTTTTAAGTAGAGTAAAAATAACAGTATTTGAAGCAACAAACCTAGAAGGAATGATAAAACATTGTGTTTATCACATGGATCTGATACAGAGAATACCTATTCTGTTGATGGAGAAGGGCCTTTGGGGTGAAGGTTACTGTCAGGAGTGTTTCGTGCCGTATAAGGAGACGATTTGTTGCTCTCTCTTGACTAGAGAAGCATAAATATTTCATGGTTATGTTTCTATAGACTGATGTTGCTGGATTAATTAGTTCACTTAGTACAAATCTAGTTGCTCAGGCCATTTAACAACTTCCTTCTCCTACTGAAACCTAGTTTGGGTTGCAAATTCAGTTTGGTTTTCTTCGTCAGCAATGGGGAGAGAGTAAGGAGGAACCTGAAAGCAGAACAATGGAAACACAGTTGTGTTACATAAAGAGCTAATTAACTGAGCCTACATTCACTGTGAGTTAGAAAGACAATTAACATATTTTAGATATGTTAAATAATCTTTGCATCTAAAGAGGTGAGGGTGAACTTTGATGGAACACAGGTTACAGCCTGAGCTGGGTGCCAGCAAGTGCTAAGGACATAAACATCTCCACTGCCAAATTTGCTCAGATCAGGCTGTGAAGTTTATAGCTTTCCTCCACTATTTTCTCTATTCCAAATCTCTTGCTCCCGCTTTGTGTACCATCCTTTGGATATCTTTGGGTGATATCAATTATTCAATTGTGTCAGCAAAATAATTGCTTTGTGTTCCCCATCTCTTAAAGTAGCTCTAGAGTAGCTCGTAGTCTTATGAGCTTGGCATAGGTTTCCTGACCTGGCTATTTGTTCTGCTTCTGGTATTCTCATGGATAAAATCCCTAATAGAGGCACATTATCCAGGAGTTTATGAATGCAGTTCTGCGGCATGGCTAGCGTGATTTCCCAAATGAGTTGGGAAGTTACTAGGGCTGTAGTATGCATGACTTGACTGATTGATATTGTGTCTATCCTTCAGTCAAAAGAAGGAAAATTAATTTCCATTTATATTGCTGAATCTGTAGGTGCCCTGGCTCTAAACCCTGCCCAGGGCTCTGCACCACTGTTTACTGCTATGTCAGGCTGCTGCACAAAGGTTGGCACTTCACAGAGTAACAGCATTCACCCAAATTTGCGTCTTAGTATTGCCCCATATAAGGTGTCGCTGGCTCAGTTCTCCGTACATCAGGATTTGTACATTTAATCTTAGGGGTATTTCATAGTAATCCCCAGACCGCTGCACCTCATAGATATGTATTAGACAATTTCCACTGCTGTAGTGAAAATTTAATTCCAGAAGACCTCTTAGCCCTTACATCTAATATTATTAAATTGCTTTGGTTGATATCAGTGCCATGAAAGAGAAAAATGGTATTTCTTTGCAATACAGAAAGAGAAAAATGGTATTTCTTTGCAATATTTCTTTGCAATGTCTCTTATGTGGTGTTTTTAGTACCCAGGCAACATTTCTGGGTTTACTGTGGCATGCAGCTCCATGAAGGCAGAGTTCCTGCTGCTGGGCTGACTTTGCTGTGCATTTCTGCAAGGTTTAGGTATTCTGAAATGACATCCCACTTTTTCAATTTCCTTTCTATATTACTATTATTTTATTATGGCAGCATTTGATGACAGGGAAAAGAAGCAGACAAATACATTTGCTTATTGGCAATCAATTTAGGAAAGCCCTCTTAGAAGGAATACCCGTGGGAGATTCATCAAACTGGAGTGATATTGTAATTCTTCAGTCAGTCACAGGCAGATTGCAGCTCCTTTAGTTATAATGCAGTATTTTTAGGGATCTGTAAAGCTGAGAGCCAAGGAAAATGAGAGTAGAGAATGTGGCTTTGTTTTCTCATACCAAGCATTTTCAGTTGGTAAAGCACATGATGTTCCAGCTATCCTCATCTCTCTTCCTATAACATCGCATTTGCTGAGATCTTATTCTCTATGGTTGCATTCCATGGACAGAGCCCAGAACAACCACAATTTCACCTTCAAAAGTACATGTCAACTAATAGAAGTTACAAAAACATTTCCGAGATGCAAGTGCCACAAAAATGGAAGCTGGTACTTCCTAAGGGTAATGTGGCTGAAGATGAGGAAGGTGAAATACACATCCCTAGCCTGGCAGCAGTTCCTAGCCATTGGATTTGCTTGAGAACAGCCTCCCCCAACCTCCCGCGCTCTCCAGGCAGAATAAACCCTTTACCTGTCCTAGTACCCAGAGACCTCCAACTCTCTGACCCTCTTTGAAGCTGTTGAATTTCCCAGTCTCAAGTTATGTGTAACCTCAGATCAAAGCAGAGGGAAAGGTTGCAGCTCTAACAGCTTATTCATATGCTTTAGATGTTTCTAACTGAAGTTCAGCTTTCTTTTTCAGCCCTGCTGCTACTTTGTGTGTGGTGAGCGTTTCTGATGGGTTTGCAGGCCCCTCTCAGATACCTACTGCTGCTTGTGCTCCCCATTAATTTTCTCGCTGTTTTCCCCTAGTTAATAAAATGCTTACTTCCAAAAAGCAGAAAATAGCTGGAGCAGAGATGATATTTCAAATGCATCAAGTATTAGCTGGTTTTGGTTTGGGTCTTTTTCCAAGTGATTGCTGTGTTGTTCTTGCAACTGTTAAAAGACCATTTTGTTGATGAGAACAGAAGGCTTTTATTTATTCATAGCGCTGGGGAGGATTGATCTACACAGAAAGGTTAAAAAGGACTAAACACGATCAAACTGGGAGGGGGGAAATGACTAAGAAGGATGTCAGCATTAATAAGAGCAAGAATTAGGGTTGCGCTGTGAGTGAGAAGTGACAGCTCATGCACACCAGCACGAGGGAATGTTCCTGGAGAGCACTGCTCCTCGATGATGTGATCAGGAAGGCTTCAGGGCCACCTCCAGGGATGGAGTCAGGAAAGCCTTGGCAAGTGTTGTCTGGAGCTGGTTCGCAGCACAGCTGTTCCTTGGTGACTGTTAGCGGGGCTGAGTGTGGGACCTCTTACCCACAGCAATCTGTTCTCTTTCTGCTTGCTCTGATTGAGCCTACCTCACTAGAGCAGGAAAAGTTTAAACTGCTTTTCTGTAGAGACATAGGAAAGAAAGGCACTGCCTGTCTGCATTCCTCTTACAGGAGGCTTACAAGGGATTGTGAACAGTTTTATTTATTCTGTTTCAGAGAAGGGCTCCTGGTCTTCAGCATAATACATGAACATTGCTGGGAAATAAAGTTTTCCACAGCACTGTTGGAAATAACCACGGGTATGGACACGTTAGCGTTTGCAGGAGTGCAAAATGACTGTTCTCCCCATGGATCTTGTCTTCATTCATGCCCTCGCAGCAGGAGGAACCCCCCACAGAACTGAGATTTGCTTGCTCACAAATTGCACTACCTGAGCCATACCAGTAGCCGGACTGCTACTGATGTGCTCATCCTTAGACAGATGCTCTCCTTGGCTAGGAAAGAGAATACAGCACTAGCTGTGTACCTGTATTGGTGCATTCTCTTCTGGGCTCTTTCTGAAGTGATGGAAGTTGTTCTCCAGGAGAAATTCGAAGTGCTGCCCTGCCCCATGCATATATACAGGTCCTGAAGATACCGCATGCTGCAGGCAGAGCTCCCGTGGCAGGGTACCATGGCTGGTAGGCAGAGAGATTTGCAGCCATGCAAAACCAGAGTGTTTTCCACACACTGGTGTTGGGGGGGGTGGGAATGCTGTTATAGTTCCCAGGCTGGAGTGATGACTGCAAGGGGCAAGAAGAACCCCATTGTCAGGTTGAGTTCCCCTTGATCCCTCTGTATTTCCTCTGCATAAAACCCCACTCTTCAAGAGTCAGGAAAACTCTTAATGTTTCTACTAACGGTTCCAACCTACAGATTCCTGT